CGAATTAGATGAGCATGCATGCAGAGGTTGTTGGGCAAGGTGGCATGTCTGCCGTCAAAAGGGTTGGGATTAATTGTCGGGAAAAAATAGCTGTAGTAGTTAAGGAAACTGTATTTTTGTATAAAGCAAGACCTCGCAGGTGATGCAATGATTGATAGTTAAATTTCATAATTATTAGTAGATAAGCAACCCGATGCCGCACTCAAGTACCAGTATTCATTCTACTCACTAGATTACTAGTAGTAATATCGAGTGTAGTGGCAAATTAAAATGTTACGCATAGATAATAGTTCCACTTTAGGAATGATTGTGATAAGGCCTGGCTTGTCCTAAAAGTCGCATCTTTCCTTAGTCAGACTAGTAACGTTGACGAGCAGGATTTGGTTTAGAATCTTGTTGGAGGTGCTTGAAAGATCGAGGCGATATCAAAAATGAAGGCCAGACTAAGTTAAATTACCTGGTATCGTAGTGCCTGCCATTTATTTCATTGGAGTAGAAAGAACTGTTGGAGCTTGGCTATTTCAGGCCATTCTTAAGAGCTACTGATATTCGTGTAACTTACTTAATTGTTGTACAGATAAACTCTCTTTAAAACATGAAGAAGAGGATATAACTTTTACATTCGAAATCCCCTTACTCAGCCCATAGTGGTTAAGCAATCCAATAATTTGCTCTTTAATTTAAGTTTTGTTAAATGAGAATATGAAATGAGATGAGACCAACATACTGCTCATTTGGTATCAGCTTACAGGAGATTTCTAGATGAGACTGTATTTAGAACTAACGAAATTTTTTGAAATTTTTACTTTATTCACAAAGAACGTTATGCTCGTGCATTTAGAAATCTTTGAGCCCTCTCCCTGATCACTGCATTACTTTATACTTATGTGGTCGTTTGAATCTGTGATCCCCATATATTTGATTAATGTTCCATGCCATTCACCATTTCTGGGTACATGCTTACACTTTTCAAGGCTTTGTGGTTGATATCGCCGATGAAAGGCATTATATTCACCACATACTTAGACAACAATGATACCAACCAAGTGTTTGGGAAAATATCCAGTCCACGATCCAGGGTCTGAATGTACAGCAGCCCGACGTCTAAGGATACAGAATAAAATGCGTTTTTGAAAGTCATTCTGAGGGCTCAATTAATTCGGCTTGGATTCGAATCTGAATTTGCCCCCAGAGCCTGTGTTACTAGTTGATCCTGAGGATATTCAAGGATAGATGTCGGTATCTGTTTGAACCTTGTTTTCTCACTTAAGTCTTGCTTTTAGAGAAGCTTCGAAGGAAATTTAGAAGCCGTAGTCGAGATGTAAAAAGTACCTCAAAGTATGTCCCTACATATGTGAAATGTGCGAAAACAAGGTCAAACCAGCCGTATTCTGCGCTCAAACAAAAGCCACATTATCCTGTTCTTAATCATCACGATGCCTTTAAGAAATTGGAAGTTAATCGTCACTGTTAGAAACAAGTTAATTTGTCTTTAAAACAATAAAATTATGATATTAAGATTTGTAAAGCTAGTTATACTCATTGCATTTCTTTTGAAACTGAAAGAAGAAGAGATCCGTTGTATACAAGTTTTTAGACGTTGTTTACACAACTTGGTCATATTGGTAGGAAGACTTAGAGGAATGCACTTTGTCTTGAGTCCATTGTATGCATAATCATTTCCAAAGTCGGACTGTGGACGTGGTAAATTCCCAGACGCTTCGCCGGCATCGTCAGTGAGTTCTAACATTCGTAGCACCATATTACAACTCGTCAAAGAAACAAGTAAAGCCGATCCTTTGACCAAACGTCTTCTTGTCAATATGATCAAGTTAGGAAAACAAGATCAAACAAATGTTATAAGACTAATGGTAATTTCCTAATTTTTCCTTCATTTAGAAGGATTTTCCCACCACCAGTAGATCTTAACTAAGAGCTCTATTAATCATAATTTGCTTGAGGTGATGAAGGACTGGTAGTTGAATTTTCTCATAATGATCTAAGTAGGTCTCAGTTCTCCATTGAATTGCATATAGCTTTGCTTCCTGAAAGTTATTTTCATCCAATGTTTCGACCTCGCCTAGGTCTATTCAACATCCACAGTCCTTCATAACCTCAAATAAAACATGGTCAAGAAGACTTGTTAGCTTGTAAGGATAATACCCTGCTCGGATGATGTCCGTCATATTACTGACGAAAGTTGTCCACGTTTTCACGGAAATCGACGGAGATTACTTTGGAATCGGCGTCAACAAGAATGTTCCAGTAAAGCCAATCGACAGCTGGTCGTCGATCTCGTCAATCGTCGTCATCTTCTGGTGATACCGACCTTCGAATCACTTCACCAAGCACTTTCACTCGAAATGGAAGTAAGTCCAACACTTAGGATACAAGAGTTTAATCGAAACCCAACTTTTCTTTCTACTGTATGAATAATTCCTACATGCTAATCGTTATGAAACCTTCTTTTTTCCTATATCAGTGTCAAATTAGGGCCTACTTATTATATTATTTCTTATTTTTTTCCATGAGGGAAAAATAAAATTCGCTAGCAGACTCAATTAGCTTGTGACGTTTGATCAAATTAATGGAAAGTATTGCATATATGCTACCTACTATAATATTTCTATGCTGATATTAGTAGCCATCCGGATCTACTATTGCTACTGTTAATTGAATATTCATTTAGAATCTTTTATTTGAATCAATTATTTTAAGAGATTTTCAGCTATTGTTAATATTTTGGCTTTATTTTCGAATGCTTAATTGGTTTTTATGGTTTGACTTAAGCACGTATTTGTTTTGTGCCTCTAGTTTAATCGGCATTGCTTGGCCAAGACTGCCAGTGGCTTATGCGTGGATTAGGGAGTAAGCGTTGCCCAGGCGACTGGCTTAAAGGGGGACACGAAAGCTGATAGCTTATCATATTTGTGAATTTTTCCTCTGGCCCGGACGAATTTCCATCCGGTACTTGCGTGCTCTCTACAGTACACAACACATTAGATCAGTCAGGTCGGGAAAAAACAATAATATGTGCATTTCCTGAGTTAACTAACTCTACCTTTTCAACAGGCTTTTCGCTCTCAACTCCAGAGGACTTGGAGGTGCAGCCTGATTGGGACGCGCCAATCCGCGCGCCAGCTGATGCAGCACTCGCAGGGGCTTCCAGAATCCCTGTTTATGCTCCGCTCCGGCCAGCTCCGACCCAGCATCAGCTGCACCCGAAGCAGTCGTGCCTGTCCCTTCGACAGCCCATTTTAGCCGCCGAGCCTTTCTGGTCGCCGGATGTTGAGTAATCCAATTCCACGAAGCCAACGACTCGAATTCATCCACCTGCCACGACCCTCGGGGACTATCTTCTTCTTCTTCTTCTTCTTCTTCTTCGTCATCGTCGTCGTCGTCGTCGTCGTCGTCATCATCGTCAAGACGCTGCTCATCCTCATCTTCTGCCGACCTTGATCTGTGGCGACTCGGACACACCTTATTTAGAGACTCGGACCTGAGCCTTTGTCGGTTGGCCGGACTCATGGTCCCTCGTTCGTCTTCATCGTTGTCTTCATCGCCGAGTTGGCTCATCGTAAAGCATACATCCTGCTTCGGTCGCCTCTTCTCGCCCGTCGCCTCTTCGGACGTGTTTCGCTGTCGTTTGACCATCAGTTCTGTCAACTTCAGTTCAGCATATTTGGCCATCCACTCCCTGCCGCATTCCATCAGTCCGTCGCGACGTACAATCGAGCCCAAGAGCTTAGCATTCAACCGGCGCACCACTTCCGGACCCTGCGATTTGGCCGAGGCGCCATGGCGGCTGTCCAGACCGCTCACCTCGCCGGACATCAGGTCTCGCAGGTGCCGGTTTGACTGGTCAATCAAGCGGAACAGGTAGGCTGTACTCGAGTCGAGGTCGCCCAGTTGCAGCATGGACTCCGCCGGCCAGACGGCAGATTCGGACTCCTCGAGGTATGGCAGCCCGTCGAGATGGTGGCTTCGAAGGCAACTTGGCTCACTCGTCGCAGCGTCGCCGTCTCCCTCCGAGACCGGCGGCGACGGCGTTCTAGAAGAGAAGGTGAAGGCCGAGGCTTTATTGGCCAGTCGACCGTGACGGGTGTAGTCTGCCTCGGGCGAATATTCCAGAGAGTTCGGAAGACATACTGCCGGCAAATCGACGTCACTCGAAGAAAACGGCGAATACAAGGCCTCTTTGCAGATTTCTTCTTGAGACTCCCGGCCACTCGAAGTTAATCCTGCTTTGAATGTAATTCAATGTAAACCGAAGCATACCTTTTATAAGGAATAGCGCTACTGCTACCATGGCTAAACTAATA